ATTAGGAAAAAACAATGCTAAGGCCAAACTTTCATATTAATAATAAGTCTCCATGTTATTTGCGGGCTGGCGGCCCAAAGATAGTCTGACAAGAGCGCTTGCTACACATATATTCTTCCAAATCTGATCTTCAGATTCAATACAATCAAAAGAAAATGAACAAATCATTTTGTAGGTATCAGTAAATTGATTCTCTGTTTTTGTAGAGAAAAAAATAATCCTCTGAAGATTTCTTTTGAAAAAGAGTAACAAACCTAAAGAACTGAGAGTGTCCAACATCAAGACTGACAATAAAGCTACAGAAATATATTAAGTACCTTGAGAGAGCAGAAAAAGAGGTACTAGAAAGAGACCCACAGACATCTGGGGTTTATTATGCCCAATCTTTAATGAAAGAGTAAGGCAATACAATCTAGATAAAAGATAATCTTTTTCAACAAAACTCTGAAACATCTAGATATCTATATACAGAAAAACATTAAATTTCAACATATACTTTACATACTTCAGAAAAAATTAACTGAAGATGACTCAGAAATTTAAAAAACATAAAACTATAAAACCACTAGGAAAGAAGAGAAAATCTAGATGACCCAGGAATTGTCAGCAACTATTTAGATAATAATAGTAAAAACATGAACAAGATATGAGTAAGGTCAAGTCAGACAAAATCCCAGCACAGAGGCAGAAAGGTGGGAGCAAAAATCCCATCACTAATGGAGGAGTGTCAACACACATTCATCAATTATAACAAAATGTACCACTCTGGTGGGTAACATCGCTAACAGAAGTGGCTATATATGTGGACAAGAAAAGGGTATGTGAAAACATCTGCATCGTCTACTCAGTATTATTATGAACACAAACTGCTCTAAAAATATAAAACCTATTCAGAATTAATATTGTTGAAACTGCTTTATTTTTAAAACCTACCTATAGATTCAATACAATTTCCATCAAAACTATGGAACTCTTCATAAATAAAGACAGAAAAATAAATCATGAGACGCACTCCAAAAGTCAAACAAACCCTGAGCATAAAGTGCAGTGCTGGAGAGTCCCAGAATCTGAACTTGAATCATACTACAGAGACCATCATGACAAAAGGAACATGACACTGGCACAAAAGAAGACATGTAGTTTAATAGGACAGGGTAGAAGACACAAAAGTAAACCCACAGTGCTACATCCATCGTATTATTTATGAAGGTGCAAAAAAATACATTAAATATATTACAGGAAAAAATAAACCCAGCTTATTAACAAATGGAGTTTGGCAAACTAGATATTTGCATGGAGAATGAAGTGAGAATGAGGTTAGATTAATGAATTTAGATTTGTATCTCTCTGTCTAAAAACCCCCCAAAATTAATTCAAGATAGATCAAAGACCTTAGGGTAGAAAGACTTGAAAACTCAGAAGGACCGTAGAAAAATGTAGGGAAGATACTTCAGGATATTATAAACTTTATTATTAAAACCTTTATTTATCGTACAGACAGACAGAGGCATCACTCCAAAAACCAAATGGCCTTATACCTTATAAGACATGAGAAAAATGGAGTTTAGGTTTCTTTGGGCACAAATGTTGGAAGTGTCACATTTCTTCATTAGCACTCAGGACAGTGTAATCTACTTCTGTCAGTGTAGGTACAGTTTTGATTTCTGAAGTTACCATCATCAAAGGTTAAACTAAAATGATATCATAAATATATAACCAAGTCTTATGATTATATTTAGATTTATGGCCCAGATTTTTTCCTTTACATTTTAAACTATCCCACTTCCCTAATCTGACCTCAAAAATGTCACCATAAATTTAATACATGTATATTTTAGATTTTCCCACCCATCCTCACAACCTTAGCACCCCATGTGTATATTTATTTGTATAGTTCACCTTTCTAGAGTAGCTTTTCAAGTAAAAATTAGTATTTATAGTATTTATATCTTATACTACATCTTCCTGTGTTGTAATGTGTAATACAATAATTTTGTTTCAAATTAAAATTATATGGTCCCCAAATAGAGGAGGACCAGTCTTGGGTCAAGGGTATACAAGTAGCTGCACTCACCTGCTAGAACCTCCAATCAAGTTTTCAAATTAAAATTTTAATTTAGATTATGATTCAAATTAGATAAAAATATTATGTAGCTAATCCATGTTCTATTTTTCTAACTTTTTCCATTTCCTAATATAATTTTATAGAAGATTTTTCTCATAACTTCCACAAATAAAACAATAAAGTTGGACACTTGGAAAATGTAAATAAACACAAAAAGATGCTAAATTCCACCATCCATTCCAATATGATCCAACTACATTTAAAATGTGACCTTGGACCACTGGGGCAAATCAGTTGGTAAAGGTGCCTGCTGACAACCTGAAGGACCTGAGTTCATTCACTCTCAAGGGCCCATGATGAGAGGAGAGAACTGACACTTACATTGTCCTCTGACCTCCACATATGTGCCATGGCAGACAAAGTGATCCCCTACACACAGAGAAATAAATGAGTGAGCATAAGTAGACTGAACTAAAAGGTATATACCATCGCCTTCCCATTTTTCAGCTGTGGAATGTAAGACCTAAGCGTTACAAGGTCAGAGAAAAAAATAAATAAATAGTGCTGTCAGGCCCTAGCACAGAATGTTCCTAAATAATTTTGTCAGATTGCCTCTCATATAATTGTTTGCAAAGTTACTTGATAAATTTTCTAAAATAAACTCCAAAACTATTGCTTTCTCTTTGTGTATTTATATATAAAGAGTCCAGAAACTGATTGTACTAAGCCTAATTAAAAGTCTAAGTAAAAAATATTGGGTGATTTTTTAAAGGAATTTTAGAGCTATATTCTGGTCTTAGCATTCTTACTATGTAAAATTGTCAACATTATATTTAGACTCCATGTGCCTCAATTTATTATCTTTCAAATAAAGATGATGAAAGCTGCTTCAGATAATACATATGACCTTTTATATCAAAATAATTGGAGAAGTTGAAAACTATACAAATGTAAAATCTGGCCAAAAATTCACCAATCTTCCTAAAATCTTAGGCTTATATATTTATGACATATTACTTACATTATTCTGCATTACAATAGTGTAAAACTATTCTATACCAGCCATCAGTACCTATGAAACGCAAACTTTTAAATGTGGTCGTTAAATTTCTCTGCCAAATATTGTAGAGCCTCTTTACTAGCCAAACTTTTATGTCCCTTGCTCATTTAAGCCACAGACCAGTTGCCTATATAGCCTAGCAAAGTCATCCATTTCTAAATTCCTCCAGATAATCCTCATTTGATCTTAAATCCTTTAACTGCCCCCACCAAGTGACAATCCATAAGCCATGCCAAACTGGTCTCAGCCTGCTTTTCTAGGACAAGTCCCAGCCCCCACCAACCCCCCTGACACAAAAGGGATTTTCCCCTCTAGTTTAATCTTTCCTAATTCTCTATCCTGTAATTTCTGTGGGTAGTTCCTCCCTGTTGATCATAGACCAGTGAATCCTGGTATCATCAACACTGTTTATTCTGAGTATCACAAAACCATCATTTTTGTATCTATTCAAATTAAGGGTGGACACAAATCTTTTACTCAATTTTTTCAAACAGACGCAAACACACACACACACACACACACACACTGGCTCTAGTTTTATGCAGGCAGGCCAACTGACATACTTTTTCGCCCCTCTCTGACACTGTCCTTGCTCTTAATTTAGGTTCTGTTCTTCCCACCTCTCTGCTCCCTCCCTATCCAAACCTGGCGTCCTGAGGAGCACTGGGCATGCTCAGTAGCCACAGCTGGTGCAGGAAGCAAACCCGTATCTTTTTTTTTTTTTTTTCCATCATTAGAGTCCGACTGGAGCCAAAGGCCCTAAATCAGTGGCCCAGAAATTGCTCTATCCTCCTACGACATCGTTTAGCTCTGCGTTCGAAGGATGGGTATGGATTTGGAAATAGACAGTTTGTGGCGGTTCTAGTCTGCAAGGAGGGTCACAACCGAACAGCTAAAAAACTGCTGCTTATGTGGTTTGGTCCTGCGGAGATTTCTGCTGTTCTGAACCGTGATCACGTTGATAGAAGGCTAGGAACTAACGTTTGGCATCTCTGCTTCATCAAGTAAATGCTGACCCGCACCCTCCTCCACACTGGCCGTGCCTTAAATCCAAAGTCTGTGTGCCAGACAGAGGGATTGTGTAAAAGACAGGCAAATCAATCACTCCAAAAATTAAATCTAAGCAGGCGGCTAAAGGACCCAGAGATAAACAGATGGGCTAATTCCAAATGACAGCTTAGCAACCTTTCTGACACTTAAATGTTAATATTATGCCTGTCTCACCCCCCCCCCCCAACAAAACGTATACCTTCCACGTTCATGAACTGATACATTTCCCCTTGAGAAAGAAACTGACCCACCCCCCCCTCTCTCTCTCACACACACACACACACACACACAGAGAGAGAGAGAGAGAGAGAGAGAGAGAGAGAGAGAGAGAGAGAGAGAGAGAGAGATGCTCCTTTCCCCCTGCTTTCTGCGGAGACTAAGTCTTTAGAGCTGCAATAGCAGCATCTGCCCTCACCTCACTGTCTGAGGATGAACGGAGAAGAAATGTACCAGAGGATAAAGAGGGGCTTCTTTGCAGGGGCTTGAGCCAGCACCGCAAAGCCTGAGAAACAGAACGATCAGCAATAACAGACAGGGAGAAAGATACTGGCCCTGCTGCTAAAACCTAACCATTTCTGTAAAATGCAACAAATATGAGACATTTCATCACCGTGCCGCATCCATATTGAGAAGGTGGAGGGGGGAGCATGTGCTCTGTGCTTTAAGCATTTCAGTCTCCGGAGATGGGAGGAGACCCTGTCCATATGTTGTGGGAGCTATCTACCACCCCAAAAGTACACTCTCCCCGCACCTAGCCGCGCGCCACTTGCCTGACAGGTTCTGCGGCAAAGCGGTTAAGCTATCTGACAGCAGGTTGTCTCTTACCGTAGGCAGCAGCGGCTCCATTTGGGCTCCCTGGTCTTTAATATCCATGTTCTGTAACACCTCTGGTAAAAGCACCTTGCTCTGCGGTGTCTTCGGTGTCTTACACTCAGCCCGGCACTCGCTCAGCTTAGTATTCGGATCAGGTAGCTCTGAAGCAGGAGGCAACTGCACACTCCAGCTCACGACAGTCACATGGCTCCTACTCACTCGGGCTGCTGGCCAGGTTTTGCACGGACTGCCTCGGATCCTTGGGCCGGTAAGAGCGATCCCCAAAGCCCTGAATCACTACCCACACCTGGATACTTGTATAAAGTACAGCCGACAACACTACAGGTGCAAAGGGCATTACGAATTTTGCCTGAAAGGCTAACTTCTCTTTCACAAATGAGTTCATGCTGGCCTCTAACCAGCTCAGTCTGATTTTGACACCTTGAAGCACTCACTGCTTTCCAGAATCCCATAGGAAATAACAGTTCAAACATGGTGATGCCAACGCAATAGAAGTTCACTGACCTCTCATCATTAAATGATGTTTGATGTGATATGACCTCATAACTATGTCAGTGAGCTTCAACTATTCGCTAATTTAAAATTTTAAGTTATCATTAAATTAGTAAGACAAATTTTTCAATGTTTAAATTGTGTGAAACTTGAGTGTAACCCAGACCCAAAAAGATGAACGTGGGATGTACTCACTCATAATTGGTTTTTAGTCATAAATAAAGGTCATGGAGTCTATAATTGGTGAACCTAAAGAAGCTAAATAAGAAGGTGAACCCAAGGAAAAAACATATAGTTATCCTCTTGGCTATGGGAAGTAGACAAAATTGCTGGGAAGAATATTGGGATCTTGGGGGTGGGGTGGGATGGGGGTAAGGGGAGATGGGGAGAGAAAAGGGAGAAGGGGAGGATGGGGGGAATTTGGGGAAACAGGATGATTGGAATAAACGAAGGTTGGATAGGGGAGCAAGGAAGCACAATTCTTAGTTAAGGGAGCCACCTTAGGGTTGGCAAGAGACTTGAACCTAGAGTGGCTCCCAGGAGCCCAAGGCGATGTCCCCAGTTAGTTCCTTGGGCAGCTGAGGAAAGGGAACCTGAAATGACCCTATCCTATAACAATACTGACGAATATCTTGCATATCACCATAGAACCTTCATCTGGTGATGGATGGAGATAGAGACAGAGACCCACACTGGAGCATCGGACTGAGCTCCCAAGGTCCCAATCAAGAGCAGAAGGAGGGAGAACATGAGCAAGGAAGTTAGGACCACAAGGGGTGTACCCACCCACTGAGACAGTGGGGCTGATCTAGTGGGAGCTCACCAAGGCCAGCTGGACTGTGACTGAAAAAGCATGGGATAAAACCGGACTCTCTGAATATGGAGAACAATGGCTGATGAGAAGCCAAGGACAATGGCACGGGGTTTTCTGGCTTTGTGGGAGCCTAGCCAGTTTGGATGTTCACCTTCCTAGGCATGGACGGAGGGGGGAGGACCTTGGACTTTCCACAGGGCAGGGACCCCTGACTGCTCTTTTGACTGGAGAGGG